TAATTATATTGAGCTATGTTCTCACGCTAATTTGGTGACACCATTTTAGCCCCACCCCCTTCCAACAGGAAGTCACTTATTTTGCTGTTGGTTATCGTTCTTTTTCACTCTGACACACATTTTCTAAGCTGGAAGGTCAAATTTCGGCTAAGCATCTAATACTTGCAGCTGGACTCGTACGAAGGTGATTTGAAAGATTCAGCGAATGTGCCACCTAGTGGATATGTGCGGGAACGCAGTGAGAGCATCGGCCTGCCAGGATTACTTTCCTGATGAATCAGAGGCATAACAAAGACAGGCTGACTTCTACCTGCCTTAGCACATTGATGCTGCACCTTGAAATGTTTTGGAGGAAGGAAATGGTACAAATTAATGTAGAAAAGCATTTAGGATTAACACCAGAAATACTTTAATTGACGATATTTAATATCCAGCTCTCTTTGTGCCAGTTGGAGCCTGAGGGAGCATCTAATTGAAATCCAAGCCAGCACTTTACCTGCACATAAAAACATTGATTCTCCCTGGAGACACAATTGGCATTATAGCACAATACATAGAAAATTGCTTCTAAAAAATCCCATCTTCCATTTAACTCTGACAGGGGCAAGTTCTTACATTAAAATTATGTAATGAACAGACAGAATACAGGACAAGAAAAAAAGTTTAAATTACTTCTAGAATCCATAACAAAAGACGGGAATTTCCAGAGAAACTTTACCTTTAAATCAGCAGTTTGGGAGCAAAAGCTAGATTTGAAGTTTAACATTTAATTCAGTCATTTTTATCTCTTTCGATTAGTTTTATTTAGCACAAGACTGATCACTGTAGAATCTGGTAAAACATGCACATACACTCATGTCGAATCAGAAACAAAAAGACAATGAATAAAGGAAATTCAGTGACATCTGCTAGATCAAATTCATTACAGCAGGAACTCCCTGTTTTCTTCTGTGGGAGCTGAGAATCTCCATTTCCCCGTCAGAAGTCATTTCCCCCCATAAAAGCAGACAAAATTTCCATGCAGGTGGTCTTTGTGTGGATTGTGAGAACATGAGTGTGTGTGAAGTGCAAATGCGACCATGCACGTTTCAAAGAAATTGAAGGCTGGATTTTTTTTTATATGTGATTGGGAGTGATTTACAGCTGCAGGAGAGACAACATCCATCTCCACTCAGCCTCTCTCTGCAGGAATGATGGATGCCTCTCCGTTTGGGAAATCAGAAGAATGGAAGTCGTTCACAGCTGAGCACTCAGATCTTTCCCTTTCTCCTGTCTGCGTCGACTCACACAACCTGATCCATTTAAGTTTAGCTCTCTATTTGCATTGAAATCACATCAAGGCAGGGTGCAGAGTAATGAACCAGCACAGTCTGAAAAGGAAGGCAGGGGGCAAAAGAGGGAGACCGAAATAAAAAAAACAAAACACAAAGGTAGACAGGTAGCGGCGTAGATCGCTGACAGGAAGAAGGAAAGAAGCTGCACGGCAATACATGAAGAAATAAAGAGGGAAAATTACAGGAAAATGAAGTGAAAATCAAGCTAAGCAAAGAGGGAAAAATAAAAAATGTGCAATCTGAGCAGAGGAAGTTTAAAAAGGAACATGAAAAATCAGTAGCTCCGTTTCCACTGACATTAAAATTTCGCAAATTGGAATTATGAAAATAAATTTGCCAAATGGAAAGATGGCAACGTAAAAAAACCCATGTTTTATGATAAAGTTTTGCACTAAGATTATGTTCTACTTTGACTTTATCGGGATTAATGTATTTTGCAAAAAAGCTGCAATAGAAACATTTTTCTCACATCATGAGTCGTGATCAAAAGTCTGAAGTTACTACTGCTGGAAACGACGAAGAAGACAACAGGAAGTGATAGGAGGAGAATGGTTTTAATGATTCGTCACATAAACAAACATATTTATGTGTGATTTTAATAGCATTTCTTATTTAATGGAGACACTGCAATTGTGAAATTGTGTAAATTTTGACATTAGCAGAAAAGCAACCAAGTTTTGCGTACTTTAGTAATGGAAACGCAGCTATGGATTCAAGTTTGGGACTCATATACTTAAGTCAGATAAAGTTGTGATCAGTTATTTTTGTGTGTTTTGTTTACAATCCTTTCTCTGTCTGACTTTTTGTCTCAAAATTCTGACTTTCTTGTCAATTTATCAGTCCAAATAAATAAACATCCTTAGGTGTGTGTTAATTATGTTGTTAGTACATGAACATAATCACATGAATGTTTCTTCCTTGTTATAGAATTTGTAAACTTGAACTTTATCCACACTGAACTTATCCCAAATTTACTTCATAGATTTGAGTTTTAAAATTAGATTTTTCATAGTTTAAAATATTTTGTTTCTGAGATTAAAGTCAGACTTTTTTTTCATCCTTGTCGCCTAATAATGTACAAGTTATTGAATATTTTTATCTGCAATAAGCCAAGAGTAGCTGATTAGGAGAACTGGGAACATTTCAGGAGAGTTGGTTTGGTTTATGAGGGCTGGTGTAGAACCGAGCCAGTGGCCCAGTTAAAACAGAGAAGCTGTTCGCTGTGCTGCAGACACACAGGCCAGTCGCACCAAGGCCGACTGCCAGCTGAGCCTCTTGCTCAGAAACCGAACATTTAGATGAAACCAGGGTAGTAAAAAGACTAAATCTGGTGTAGAAAAGGCAAGAATTAAAAACCACAGAGCATGAAAAAAACGAGTCAGCCAAACGCGTGAAATTAAGTGACTTGTTCCATAAAAGCCCTCAGTTTGAGAATGAAAGTGCACACAGTGAGAAAGGTAAGCTGTATCGCCTGCAGCAAGGGCATTAAACAAAATAAAGCACTGCCCATAAACCTCTGTTCAGCCTTACAAAACAAGTCAATAAATTGTTATATTATTGCATATAACATGGTCTGTATGACATGAAAAAGTGCTTTGCAAACAGCATTTTTATACCACCTAAATGACATTTTTTGTGTTGTACTCCGCCAGCAGCTGGTGCAGCAGATTGATGCTAGTCAGACTAAATACTCCAAACCAGGATGCAGTTTAAAGTGAGCAGAGAGAATATTCTGATATAATCTATATGATGTGACACATATAAAGCACAGAGCAATTTAAGAATGACTTTGGATTAAAGATAAGTGAATATGCTTGGTCAGAAACTTTCCATCATGTTATAATGTTATTCCCTCATCAGAAACAAACCTGGAGTGTTACCTTAATTTTTTCATGGAGGTTTGAGCAATCCTTTAATCACGCTGGCAACCATTCAGTTGTGCTAAACGCCTGGCTGGACCTAGCCCCGCCTTTGAGGCGTAGCTCCTCCCCCACTCAGCTCCTTCAGACTAGCCAGAAAAATTAGAACTGCTGAGCTCATTATAGGAGCTACTTCTTAGAGCAACGCTGGTAAAAATGTTATAAGGTTAATATAGAAGTGTTGTAGTATGGAAAAAATGTAGTTTCAGAAAAAAGAGTCTTTAAAGAGACAAAGGCACAATTTCAAGGTATTAAATCAGGAAGTAACATTTTTTTCAAGATATTTGATATATAATGTTAGTGTTAAATGAAGAAGCTCCATCATTTCATTCATTATCTCCTTTGGTGGAGAAAAAAACTGCAACATCTTTTAGCAATTTAAAGTAAGGAAATGCATTCCACTGTGGAAGAAATGCACACACTAATTTACTTATTAAAATAAATGTATATATAAATATATATGACTGAACTTTGTTTACTGAGTGAATCACCAACATTTATAAAGTAGTGCAATTTAACAGTAATGGCAAAGAAAAAACACATCTAAGCAAAACAAGAATCAGAGGCAGAAGATGAAAAGAACCACAACAGACAGGCGGTTTAACAACAATCGTAATATTTAATCAAATGAGCCACGTTTGTCGAGTGAGGAAAGAACCACCTGTGTTGCATTAGATGAATACAGAAGCATATAGTAAAGGGTAATGTGGACGCAGGATGTGGAAAGGACATTATCACAGCGGCGGCAGGATATTATCAGTGACACGGCAGTAAATCAGACAGTGGGTAGACTGTATGACCTCCAGTTGGCTCCCATTTCAACACAAAACACCATCAATTCAAACATAGTTCATCTAATTTTAAGAAAACGCTTGTGATGCGGGGCTGGTTCGGAAATTAGCAGAATTTATTATGTGGGTCGGGTCATACTTTCTTCAAGTGCTGAATCTGAGAGAAACAAACGTGGGTGTTATTTTAGGAGGTAGTGAGCAGGGAGGAGTTTACAGGGTTCCTTCTTTAACTTTAAGTCAATAGATGGCTTATGTTAGGTTTTCAATCATCAATCCATTGTCTACAGACTGACCCATGCTGGGTCGCAGGGAACTTGGAGAGAAACAAGTCCTGAAGCAGTACTTCAGGGCAATTTAGAGCAGGGGTGCCCAAAGTCGGTCCTTGAGGGCCGGCTTCCTGCATGTTTTAGTTCTCTCCTTTTAACGCACCTGGATCAAATGATGGCTCGTTAGAAGGCCTAAGAAGAACATTGACAAGTTGTTACTACAACAAGGGAGAAAACTAAAACATGCAGGACGCCGGGCCTCGAGGACCAACTTTGGGCCCCCCTGATTTAGAGTAACCAAAAAAAAAAGTTCAGGCTTGAATAAACTGACCCTCACTTCTCATCTTATACTAAACTGCAAATCCTGCCTTAAACACAGCAACAAATCTAAATTAGTTGAAAAAAAAAAACAAAAACAGATGTAACCCAAAGGTTCTTCTCTGCCAGTAAGCGCCAATGTCCTTAAGCTAGAGCAGTGTTTCTCAACCCTGGTCCTCACCGCCCCCCTGTCCTGCATGTTTTAGGTATTTCCCTTCTGCCACACACCTGAATTGTATCCCTGGGTGATTAACAGGTTTCTGCAGCACTTGATGGTCGCTGTTCTGGAATAGAGGCACATCTAAAACATGCAGAGCAGGGGGGCGGTGAGGACCAGGGTGGAGAAACACTGATTTAGAGCAAAACAAAGACGCTCACGGTAGTAGAGAAATGAGGTGGAATCGCCCTTTAGCCATTTGCCGAACCGGAGGTCTCAATCGGAAGCGAACTTCAGCTCCGTGTTGTTCATCATGTTTATTTCTTGATAATCCGTTGGATTACAGTGAACACTGATAAAAGAGCAGGTATATAAATCTAACTTATGTTGCTTACAAATATTGTATGCCAACCATTTTTCTTGATAAAGTTTTAAAACAAAAAGAACACGCTGCGGTCCAGCAGCCTAGGAATGCTAGTAGTTAGCCTATCCAAGGCTAACGCTAACGGTTATTTAGGTTAGCGGCTAACTTAGCCAATGCTAACGCATAAATGGGCCTGTTTCTGTCAACGGGGCATGGTTTGTATTGTGTGGGCTTGCAGTCGACTGAATACTGTTCTTCTCATTTGCCCAAAACATACAAAATAGAAAGTTGTAAGCTATTTATCACAGGGAATGTTTTTTAAATGATGTCAGTATATTTTTTTCCACAGAAACAAGCAACACAAAATACAATAACTGGACCTGAGAGATATAATTTCTGTTTTCAGGTCCGTGTTGAGGTTTCCTCACAGTCTGAGAGCCTTCAATAAAGTCAAAGGTTTGAAAACTGTCCCTGCTGGAAACGCATTCCTGCAGATATCTATTCTCCAAAGATATGACTCTGTGAGACATCACTGTTGAACTGAGTGATCTCTGTTGTTTGTTTTAAAGGAGCTATTCTCTCCACATCAGTACTACACACTCCATCACAAGCCAAAATGACATGCTGTTTGTAGGGTGAAAACTCTGGATTCAAGTTTCTTCGTGCTCAGGCTGGAGCAAGAATAGCAACAGTTTTCAGGGTTTTTTGTGGTACAAGGCAGAAGTCTGTTTTCTTTTATTAAAGGTCACGAGAAACACCTGTTGGCAAGCTGAAGACTGCAGAGGTCAACATGTGGAAGAGGGGCTTTAAGGCGCACCATTATTGTGAAATGGTAAGTAAATAATGGAAACGTGTACTTTTAATATGAAAACTTGTCACATCCTATGGATTAGCACATGGTGGCGTACATTGCTGACCAAGGAGTTACACAAATAGTCTACCACAATGGATCTGGAGTTCAATTGTGCTTTAAAAAAAAAATCACCAAAGACGCTCTTTTCCCAGTCTTTTCTGGCAATAAGTTAATGGTTTTTGGTGTGTGGAAAATGAGATGCTTCAAAAAGCTCCCGATTGTTGAATCACAATCAACAATCGGGCATTGCGCCATTGCTATTAAAATAAAAAAATAAATTCCAGTGTTGGTGGGGATTATAGGATGTAGTATTAGGGCCATACCTAGAATTAAAAAACATTTAATTACAACAATATGCTGTACAAGAATAAAGTTGAATGATTTGAAACTAAAGTTGTAGTATTACAAGAATGAAATCGTAATATTACCAGAATAAAGTCATAATATTACAACTTTGTTCTGGTTTTATTTCAACTTTTTCTTGTGTTATTTCAACTTTATTCTCATAAGGGTAGTAATTTTATGTTTTTATTATAGTAATTTAAATTGTTTTAATTTGGTCTTAATTCTCTGTCATAAGGCTTAAATTATGCCTGAATATTTCTCCTGTTATTGAATTGTAACTTGTTTGGTTGGATGGATTATTTTACTGCTCTAAGTTTGTTTTTTTTGTGTTTGTATTTGCACTGATGCTTAAAGTGGTGCTGCACAGTGCCAGTCACTCCATCAGAGTAATAAACTTAGCAGCCTTCAATATACAGTGAGCAGAAATTTAGGACAAAAAGATAAATAACTTTCTACAGCATTTAAGCTCAATATGCATGAACACTTTTGCAGGGAACTATAAATCCACCTGTAAATGTGAGAAATGTTTTTTGCATGTGCCTCAGCACATGAAATGTGTTTAAAAATAACTACAAATAATGCATTTAAAATTAGTCTTATGGATTTCCTCCCATTTCCATCAGGACTCAAGAGTTTAAACAAATACTTAATCCAGTTGTTCAGAGTCAGTCTTATAATTTACTGGTCCTGAAATAATTCCCATCACAGTGAACTTGGAGAGACTTGAACAAACTGCTGCGACTCTGCATAATTGATTTGTAATAAATAAGTGATGATGTAGAGGTGAAGAGGATACGGACGCTTGTGTCCCGATCGTGCCTTGGACAAACACGGCCTCATGTTAATGAGACATTGATTTCTGCAGCACTGAATAATGGAAATATTCATTACCTGTCAGCACAGAAATTCATAATGTAGGCGGAGGAGAAAGTGAGGCAGAGGGAAGATCTGGGAGGTCGAAAAGGACGCAGACCTTCAGGCTCTCAGGTTAAAGAAACTAATACTGTGCTGTTCAGTTACAGCAGAACTGGACGACTCAAAGGTTCGCGCTCCCACCAGTCGGGTGTTTCTAACACTAAAAACTTGCATAATTAATTTTCCTTTTTTTTCTTAGCTGCAGATTCTGCGGTAAAATGTTTCTCCTGTTTATATTCTTATTTGGATCTGAAGTACCAATCAGATCTGAGTTTGAAATGCAAACCGGATGGATTGTTCGGAAGATGAAGGTGGACATTTTCTGCATTTTCTTTTCCCTGATAGTTTTCTAGAGATAATGATTTCATTTATAAATGGTTTCTGCAAGGTAACGACTTAACTTCCTGTTTCTGCATATACTTTTTCTCAATGGTTTTCTCGATAAGTTAATTTAACCAGACTAACTAACCCGCTTACATCAACCTTTTATTGCTCTGTCACTCCATAAAGATCAAATCGACAACAAGTGATGATATTCCAAACAATAACATTTAAAAAGTACCACTATTTACAGCAGGAATTTATCTATTTGCGTAACTATACGTTTCAAAATCAATAATACAATAGATGTAACACAAAATAGATAACGTGATATGATTCAGGCAGCAGTGGGTGAAGTTTTACTGATCAGGGATGCAAGGATATATCTACAATTGGAAATAATGTTTTCATATAAACAATTAGTGTAAAGAGTCTGGGTACACAGTGGATGTAGATGAATATTCTTATTATATTGGCAGCTGCCATTCTAAAGCACAGCCATGTTGATCGACCACGGCGCTTTGCACCCTGCTGAGCAACAAGCCGTCCTCCGCTTCCTGGCAGCCATCATGTCGAACTGAGCAGCGTTTAGTCGTACGGATAAATATCGCCTGGACCGTCCCAAAAGGCTGCGTGGAATTTACTGAATTTAATGCATCCTGTCACGCTCACCTGGAAAGGGAAGGAGACAAATACCAGAGAGTCGGTGGGGATTTCTGAAGGGCACTGGGCTGAGAAACATTAGAAACCATGTGTTCACATTTATGTTTTTTTTTTTTAGAACTTTTATTTTTACAGAGCAGTTATACATCAGTAGTACATAACACAAGTGTTGACAAGATGAAGTTTTCCAAAAAATAAAAAACAAATAAAACATGTTAGCATGACATCTTACAACCTCAGCATCACATCTGTAGACTCATCACCAAACAACCCTAAAGTAAGGATACACTTTGGGCGGGACAGCTAAACACCATATGCCAAAAGACAAACTTGTTAGACTCATTTACATCAACAGAGTTTCTGCTGCCCCCAGCCCAGGCTAAAAGTAATTTTTTGAAGTCTTAATGAGTAGGTTATTTTTTCCATTTGATATAATTCCCTTACTTTTTGAACCCATAAGTCGTAGGAACCTTTATGTGTTTTTAAGACTTTACATTCACACCACACTGCAAAAAATACAAATCTTACCAAGAATTTTTGGTCTAGTTTACAACTCAAATATCTGAGCGCATTTCAATAAGACAAAACTGACCTACAAGTAATGTTTTAGCAAGAAGTAGGAGTTTAAGTAAATAATTCATTAATATTGATGATAAAGAACTAATTCAACTGGCAGATTATTTCACTCATTAAGACATTTTCCCCTTAGTATAAATGAAATAGTCTTCCAGTTGAACCAGTGCTTTTTTAAAATCAATATTAAGAAATTATTGCCTTAAACAAGCTCTTATATTTTGCTGAAAGTTAGTTTTGCCTTAGTTCAAGTGTAATAAAACATGTGCACCAGAAACTAGACAAAAACACTTTGTAAGATTTGTTTTTGCAGTTTGTGCTTATGAAACCAAAAAACTGACCCAAAGTATTTGTTCTAAAATTATAGCGAGCGAATCGGAAATAAAAACTCCACAGAGTGAAAGAAAGATAAGCAGGCACTCGGCGAACTGCAGGAATTAGGTCAGCTGTAAACGTTACATGGGTGGACGGCTGCTTGTTACTTCAGATTAAAGCGTTTGACATATTGTTTTATTTTTTGTGGATGATGTTAATGTAATCGTGGATGTCACATGCAGAGACATTCTGAGCTGCTGAAAGGTCATCCAGTCACCAGTGGGGAACTTTAGGCCTGAGTGAAATCAATCCTGAGACCCAGAACAGACCAAACTGCAGGGCAGAGGGCGGTGGCTGTGCACCAGAGGGCTCTGCAGGTCTGTTCAGATGAGGGGGAAAACAAACAGTGGCCTGGTCTGATTCTACACTGATTAGTCATTATTATAATTTTAGGTTTCGTCACGGTGTCACATTTCAGTTGCATTCTAATGTTTCAGCTCAACTTTTACTTTAGTCATTAAGTTACCAATTCTTTTCAGATTGAATAGAATTGGTTGGAATAGCTCTATGGGCATTACAAAACATGTTTATTAAATTTTTTGCACACAATCATTCTTACATAATGAGATTTTAGTCGGATCAGCTCTGCCTATTTTGAGCTGTTAGGACCTCTTGTCACTTTAAATCCAAATACTCTGCTGCTGACCATGCCCCAAAATTCAACGTTTACACTGAAAATGGCTGCAAACAGATGTGCAATTATACAACTGTAAATCTTTGAAAAGCAGAAGTGGAGCCTCCTGCACAAATGATAATGCACCAACTGATTTCTGGAGGTTAAGTCAACAACAAAACACTTACAGCATATACACCGGTAAAACCAGCTGACCAAATGTGTTGGAACTCAGCTTGGGTTGCTAGGTAACAGGTTGGGGTTACTGGGTAACAGACAGTACCTGGAATTCTGGAAGATTTTGAAATGGCTCATTTTCCAGACACCAAAAAACATTAAGTTATTGGCAAAAAACATTGTTTTAAGGGCTTGGGCTGTTTTTAGAATCAGTAGAGATGCAAATGGAAGAACAAAAAAATGTGAAAAATGAGAATGTTTGTATATTATGTTTCCTATAAATATACTGAGGACGGAATGGGAATGACAAAGGAACTAGAGGGGCTAATGACAGGTGAGTGAATGCAGCTGGGAAAGCAGCAAAATGAGGAAATAATTAACAGCTGGGAAAGGAAAGCAGAACAGAAATAAACACTAACACAATGAAACAAATCTAAAACATAACGGAACAAACAAAAAGGTGAAAGACAAGAAATATAAAGAAATTATCAAAAGAGCAGATAAGTGAAATTTAAAGAATCATAACAAACCTGAAAACTGCTATTATCTCACTGAGTATTAGATTCAAGTGGATGAATTAACTGAATTCATCAAGTTATGCAGAAGGTAAGGAGATATTTATCTGGGTTTTACAGCAGTGAGCCTTGATGGAAGTTTTATTTTAAATTGTCAAATCAGTTTGAAATAATTATATTGTCTTAATGAAGGGAGAGTTAATAAAAAGCAGCTCTAGTTACAGGAATCCCGCGCTGACAGACGGATTTCAGAAAGAAGGAGAGACTCAGAACGAAAAGCAGCAGAATGAGTTCAGTCCGAGCGTGAAACGGATCGCTTAG